CGCGTCTCTCACTCGCCCTCAGTCTCTACAATACACATCGATTCCGCGTCTCTCACGGCCACATAGTCTCTACTCCCCTGCCGCTGCAAACGCTAGCAAAACGCTGGTGAAACGCTGGAGAAACGCTGGCGTAACGCTAGCGTACGCTAGCGTGACGCCAGGTACAGCATCGTTGTGTGAAACACATGGGGGGGTCGTACTTTTCCGCTGGGGAGGGGGTCGTATTTGGGGTAAGACAAATTTATTTTGATAGTTGATTTTTTCTTGTGGAAAAAGGGGGGTCGTACCAACGGGGAAAAAAGGGGGGGTCGTGGCGCGGACCCCATTCGGAGGGGGGGGGTCGTACTCACACCGACATTTCGCCTATCCCTATGCTGTACCCTGCGTGACGCTGGTGACGCTGGGAACGCTAGATCGATATGCATCCTCTCCCCGGCACTGCCGCTGGAAGCGCTACGCTGCCGCAAAGTATAAACGCAGCCTTACAATTCTCTTACCCGTCCCCTTCTCAGAACACTGAAATGGAATCATTAAACATCAAATGTTACCGTGTTGCGTCACGCCAATGTGATTATTAACAACTGTGTAAGAGATGCATATTGATTAGTTGCAGGTAACAACGGTAATTCCGCTTATTCACGACTATGATGAAGCAACGGAAGAGGTGATTACGTAGTTTGGAAGGGCCACGCGACGGCGCCTCTGTGCCCGCCCCTCCCTATCCCCCTTAGAACCCGAGTATTCAAAAATGAATACCGCTTTCGTAATCAGGGCATTGAAAAATTTCTTTGGACGAAGTGTCAGCGTTAATTTTTTTTCGAGTTCTCGAAGCCGTAATAGCGGAATAGAGCCTACAAAAAAAGTGGTTAATCCATAGGCCGATGTTACCGACAGCGAACCGCCGTTTCACCAGCTGTGAGCAAGATCCTGGCAAAAAGCCAAGCCGAGCGATGAGCTGTTTTCAGCATAGGGCACGTCGTTGTTGGGGATTCCCAAACATGGGGAGGGGGTATTTGGACTGAGAAAAACTCTTTTTGATTTTGATGTTCCTTGTTTCAGGGACGTTGTAAAGGGAGAGTCGTCGTTATTGGGAGGGAGAGGGTCGTATCTCCCTTTTGCGAGAGAATGCTGACTTTTCGTGGTTTGCCCTGTTTCATGTGTAGTATTTATACCCGTACACACACCGCAGTTCATGTCAAGCTTCCTTAGACTTTACGCTTTCGTGAGTGGTGCTTTTTGCGCACACTTCGGCTTGGGGGGGGCACCGAATGGTACTCAGGGGATATGTGGCAAGAGAATCGTAATTCGTCCGCGCCAGTGGGCGTCGCGTGCGACGTCGCGCCCCAATGACGACGATTTTAGGTGGTATTGGTCGAGAATAGACAATGTATGACCAAAAATAGACATAAGTGTCTACCATGTCCTTGTCTACATGAAATCCGATGCTCCAATCGAAAGGGTAGTGCAAATTAAGGGAACGTCGCGCCCACTGCCGCGCGCGACGAAGCGGCAACTCACGATTTTCTTGCCCGTCTCCCGTACTCATGGTCAGGTGAGCTTGCACAAGCCAAACCCGTGAAGTGCTACGACCAAAGTGGCTCACTTGAAGAATTTCGCAACTTCACGGCGGTGTACAGGTCTGACAAAATGCCCCCTCCAAGCCGAACGGCCCGTTTTTTTTCTTGTGGTATTTGTGAGAAGCACCACGTACATTTCTAGTTTCTATTAGCAAGGAAACGTGTGAAATGAGAGTATACAAGCACATAAAAAAGAAGCGTTACAAAAAAAAACGGGAGCTCAAAAGCGTCGTTCGAATGCCCTTTTGGCCTTTATGTTTGCCAACTCTCCACTCAGAATGTACTTGTGCGAGTCAAAAGTTGACTCGTGATGTGATGGCTGGCAATCATTTGTCGAAACTGCTAATGCACGCCAGCGATACAGACCTCTCCGAATTCCCCCCTCTGTCCCGAACTGCCCGAATATAGGCCAAATCAAACATTCCATGATATTTGTTCAAATGTTCCCACACAGAAACGGGTACGGAAAAGCCCGTTGTGGTTGGAAAGAACTGATGAGAATATTTGGGGCCTTATTCAGGCAGGACTCAACGCGGCCTGAAGGTTTTCGGACCACGGGCGCTTCTCATCAAAGACCGCTAAGAGTCGAAGAACTGCGAATAGGATCGATCACTTCCTCAAATATATGTCCCCTGATAGGCTCTTCGTCAGAATCACGCCACAGTAAGAGTGCAGTCATACTTTGCGTCAGCGTTTTGCGACTAGGAAAGTATAAGTATTGATCCAGCGCTCAAGCCATTGGATCGATACCTATACTTTCTTGGTCAGCTCAAGCCACTGGATCGATACCTATACTTTCTTGGTCGCTCAAGACGTTCGCGTGCACCGAAAACGCTGACGCAAAGTATAAACGCTCTGAGTATTTAGCCTGCGCAGTGAACAGTGACCGGCAGCTGGTGTCCTGTTTTGAGTTGCTGTGCACCCGGACAAGTCTGGTGGCGAGAACCCAGGGATATGAAAACCTTGGTCTATCTGGGCGTTCCAGCTCACAGAGCGTCCCTATTTCACTAAACAATACCTTTTCATACTGCACGCACATGTTATGCTCGGCCTCAGCTTTATATATTTCGTAGGGATTATCACAAACACCTCGAGATTTACCCAGAGTGGGTAAGCTTCCCATTGAACTTACATGTCAGTTGGCAACAAGGCAGTTGTAAATCACCTCACGGAAACAAAAATAGATTTCTTGAGGAGATGATAATAACCAACCATAGAAAAAGATCTAAAAAAAGAACTCCTGCCTTAATTCCGAGCAGTTGGGATTAGAGCTAAGGCATGACGTAGCTAAGAATTTCCTACGGAGGTCTCGTATGTGAGCTGTAGCAATAGGTTTGGGGTAACATCTGCTTCAGAAGGAACTGGGAGTTAAGACTGGTTGTCCTGGAAGATATGCCAATTCCGGCAGTGAAGTTCGCACTGAATTTCTCTCTCCCTTCCGGACGGAACCTAAAATTTCATTGAGGAAATTGTAAAAAATGAAGATCATGCTGGCAAATAAAGCTGAGCCGGAACGCAGCATGGGGTCGTAATTGAGAGGCGGTGAAGCGAAGGCACGATGAGCAAACTATTTTCCTCTTCCGCGACCGGAACTTTTCTTTAATAGTCCCAGTATGCTGTAGAGTCTCAAGACACGATATATGTAGCTATTTACCTACCATTTACGATGACGACGCAGAAATAATGTTAATATACGATCGCAGCGTATCAGCGGAATGGAGTGTAGGCAATTCCGTTGTTGAGGGGACATCCTAACAGGGGGTTTATTGTGGTCTGAGAAATAACTCAGTTTGATTTTTTTGCTTACGGACGTTGTAGAAGGGGGCGGGGGTCGCTTACTCGTTGTTGGGAGGGGGGTTCATACTTACTTTCTGGCCTTCTGGGACAGGTGGTTGACTTTCGTGAATCCTGTTTCATGTGTACTACTATATACACCCCTCCCTCCCCCCGCCCCGATCCCCGTATCGACCGATAAATCTTTTGGCGTAAAATAGACGGAATTCTCTGGGAAGAAAATCTGAAGAATCGGTAGGGGGATGCGGATCGTTTTTCACTCGCGGCTTCCGGGTTTATCACCATGTGCCTATTTGTCCCCCCCCCCCCCTCGACAGCTCGACGAGGGACGGACAGAGGGGGTCGTACCAACACTCAAAAAAGGGGGAGGTCGTACAGACTCGACCAAAATCCCCAACCCATGACGTGCCCTGAGGTGGGGTCAGGAGACGCCCTCCGAACTTTGCAAGTAAGTTTCCCATGGTTTTCTACCCAGAGTCGGCTATTGTTGCAGGTTGGCTCATTCCACACCTGCTGACACCACCGGGTTACACGGCTGTAACGATGATATCAACTGTAGTCGCTGATGCAGCACAGGTACGCAGCGCTTAGGAGAAACATGACCTGTCTGACGTCATATAGCACGTTAATGACGTCACTGACAACAAAAATACAGGTTTCCTTGTCATTAACAAGTTACGTGTCATCTAATCAAATTTTGGAGGACATGTCATCTCCTAGCTTTCAATGGGCGACGGTCCTTGTTACATCATACAAAAAAACTCGAATAGATTGCCCCCCCCCCCTAGAGCTTCATAGGTTTTGAGACATAAATAAGCTGAATTCATGATTCAACATATTGATTTTCACGTCATCAGGAAATCAAGGAATCTTCAATTAAACACTGAACATAACACATTAGAATAATCTGTATCTGAAGGTATAAAACATCACGACAATAAAAAAATAAAAATCATGTACATACAAAATTACAAATTATATCTCTGTATTCTCAGACGGTGGGTGGGTGAGGAAGCGCTGGCGGCGGCGGATCGTAGCGCAGCGCAGCGCAATGGATGATGCAAAGAAATGGTGTAAATGGACATTGGTGAGAAAAGAATGATGAAACAATTTCTGTGGAATGGGGAAAGGGGGGGGGGAGACAGGAACGAAACGACACACTGCACCGATCTGGCCAGAAACACGAGAGACGAGTCGATATGTGACGGAGCAATGCAAACAACCGAGTCATTGAAATGAGTAGTCAATGCGTTTCTCATAGAGCGCTCTCTCTACAGTTCAACACTAGAAAACAAAACCAGGGAACAAAATGAACAAACGAATGAATGAATGAATGAATGAATGAATGAACGCTAACAAACCGAACGAACGAATGTACGTACGCGAAAGGACCAACGAAGAGGAAAGGCTGAATAGGGATGGATGGCTGTCCAATTGACAGAATTGCTAGGCAAAGATCATCGATCACCACCTTCGATCAATGGGGGACAGAATTGATTGATCGGAGGAGTGGTTATGTAGCAGATCAGCTGATAATCAGAGGCCAACGGCTGTACATGACATGAAACACAATCCGCCTTGTGACGGCGGGCGGGTGACGAGGTAGCCGCGGGGCAGGGCGGCCGTCCCTTATTGTACAGCAGCTTTGGCGGCTTCTTCTTGCATACGAGTGTGATGTAGTTCAGCCTCTTGCCAAATCAGCTCTTTCAGCTTCTCCTTTGGCAGATCGTCCAGCTCCATTTCGTACGTGAATGGTTCTTCACACACCGGCTAAAAGAACAAAATCATTTATTGCTCTTTGAGGGCACGTCCAACTTGGTTTCAATTGCGTCATCGTTTTCAAAGCGCCGCCGCGTTATGCCTCACATAAAACACATGAGCTCGCACTTTGAAATCGATCGATAGTGCAATGAAATTGAGGGGAAAAATCACCTCGTCATTCGGGTCGTAGTACTGTTCGAGGTACGGATGAGCCAACGCTTGTTCGATGTTTATTCTGAAATATAGTCTGTTTTACTGGAGGAAATACCTGTAAACTGAAATTGTGTACCAACTGTAGGCCCGAGCAGAGATACTGAGCGAAATTCTGCCACCACGCGAAAGATTACTATTAAGCGAGCGGTTGCGATGCGGTAACCCACCCGCAGGGTACAGCATCGTGATGTGTGAAATGGTGGTGTTGGTACGACCCCCACCCCAACACCTACCTACCAATTTCCCGCATTTTCCAGTTTTTCACCCAAAAA